CCAGGGTCCACACTGACAGAGGCATCAACAGCAGCCTGTCAAAGGATAACGTATCTCTGGGTTGCAGAAGCTAAAACAAATTTAATATCTGGTGAGCTGGGTAAAATCTAAGCAAAGGCTGAGAGTTCTCTATTCCTGATCACAAAATCCCATACACACACTGTCCACCCATGCACACACACCATTACACCTATCAGTGTTTTAACTAAAAAAGAATGATTATTCTTTAAGTTTTATCATATATACATTAAATGAAATATCTACAAAGAATGTGAAACTCTCTATGAAGAGTTAATTTTGGTTACCCATATAGTGTACAGGAGCCCTTGTGGTGCAATGGTTAAGCACTGGGCCGCTAAACAAAAGATCAGCAGTTCAAACCCACCGATAGCTCCATGGAAGAAAAGATCTGATGATCTGCTCTTGTAAAGATTACAACCTAGGAAACCCTATGGGGCAGTTCTTCTCTGTCGTATAGGGTCACTATGAGTCAGAAACAACTGGACGGCATACAACAATAACAATGTATATAGTATATCAGCTCTCTATTACGTAAAAAACTGATAATAGATCCTTATTTAGACTTATGTATCCATACACACACTACATATAGCATTTTATTTTATATATGTTTATTTTTTACTACAATAAAATCCTTTGAGACAATTCTCATTAAATATTTAAAATCAGTGGATCTACTTTCATTTTGTGACAATTCTCTATGCATAAAAATAGTAAGTTTCTAAATGTACAAGCTGTGTGTAATTAAGTTTGTTGAGTCTATGAATAAAAAAATACAAAAACTAATCTCTACCACATAAGGACTTACCTTTAAGTTGTTGTTTTTTATTTTCCACGTACGGGTGCCAGTGACAGAATATCCATCTTTGAAGTCTGAAATTGTTATATTCCTTTGCTTTTTTCATATGTTTAGCCATAGTCTCACTTTCAGTTATATGGGATAGTGCTGCGTCTCTCCAAATGCTACAGACAGAAAATATAGAAAAATAGTATTTTGATGTTAGGGCAATACATTTGTAAATAAATTAGAAGGGAGAAGTGATGCCTCCTTTATTCCCTCAAAACTCACAGCATAGAGAAAAACTTCTACAAACTGGGTATGGCTTAAAGAATTCCTAGTGGTTATAGAGAAAAATGGAAATTATATGACAGTCATATATATTTCTCCTTGGACATGATAAAGAAATCACAGGAAAAAGTCATGCTATCATAGCTTCAATTTACCAAAGGAATCACCCTAGTGTTCTCTCTAGACTGTGCCTTTAAGATATTTATTTCAGAAAAACAAGAAAATATAGTACAGTATTTGAAACTTTGGGGCCATGGGTCTTCCTGGACTACTCTGAGTCTGGGATTGCATTAACAGTATACATTCATTCCATTTAAAATAGATACATGATTTTATAGAGGAGCAAAACCTTGGTACAATTACAAGAAATATAATAGAATTTATGATAGTAGAGATTTTCATGCAATTTTACATTAAATTAATAGTTTGGGCTTTAAATAATCCAGATTAGCATAAATTTGCAAATAATTGTCAATGATCAATGGTAATTGCCATTTTAAAAATAACAAATCATATCTTTCATTCAAGAACTTGAGAACTATCAAACAAAGCTTTATTTTATGTTGCCCAAAATTAAACTGGATCAAATATATATAATTACTTCCTTGGTCCAAGAAGGCTGTGATTTAGACAGTAGATTGTCTTTACAGTTCAGGTAAACTGACCCCTCCCCCCATGAAGTTCAGAGCTGAAATGTTCAGTCTTGAATCAATCTCAAAACAGTTGCAGAAGTGAGGCAATGTAAAACCTGAAGGCTGGTTGGATAATCTGTGAGCTTCCTGGTTTCTCCTGAATCAGACTTTTACACTTTAGTGAGACTTCATTAGTTGAATACTAAAAGATCTTGAATTCCCAGATAAATTCAAATGTACATATTAATTCTAGAAAATATGGTGGTGAATATTACAATGAACTTGCACATGTGCATATGCGAACACACACACAAAATTAAAACAAATTAACAACAAAAACAAAAAAGCAAACCCAGGAATGACGTTGAATTAGAGATGGGGATTTCCTAAGTGCTAAAATTAGGAAATTATACTAATCATGCACCGCAAATTCTGCCAGATTAGTATGATTGGACTGGGAACGGACCTAAAACCATTTTTCTCAGGAGAGTAATGCAAACAGTTGTGACAAGAAAGGCAGAAGACTCAAGTAAATCCTACAAATACCCCCCAGAATGGAGAAACCAAGGCTTATGACATGAGTGACCCAAAAAAAGGCAGGGGCCCCCATGCATGAGCTCTTCCCCTACAGGTATCAGCTGTTTTCCAGGGCTCCAGTGGAAGGCAGGCTGGAAGAAAAAGGCTGCAGACATTCTTCGAAGTTTCTTACTGATCCATCATCTTAATAGTAACAAACACTTTACTCAATATTGGGAGAACTATAATCTGGAGAGGCAACATTACTCTTCCAGAAAAAGAAGGAATACCCTCCACTTATTTTATGAGGCTAGCATAAACTTGATACCAAAACTCAATTAACCAAAAACCAAACCCATTGCCGTCGAGTTGATTCCAACTCATAGCCACCCTATAGGAGAGAGTAGAACTGCCTCATAGGGTTTCCAAGGAAAGGCTCGTGAATTTGAACTGCTGACCTTTTGGTCAGCAGCTGAGTTCTTAACCCCTGCACCACCAGGGCTCCAAACTCAACTAGACAATAGAAGAAAAGAAAATTACAGGCCTCTCTCACAAATGAACATACATGCTTAATATTAACAAAGTATAGTAGACGAAATTCAGTAATGTGTGAAAAGGATAATACATTATGACCTGGTTACAGAAATGCAGGGTTAGTTTGACATTAGGAAATCAATTGATGTAATTCACCACATTTACAGATTAAGGAAAGAATTACATGATCATCTCAGTAGATGCTAAAAAGGGACGTGATAAAATTCAGCAGGCATCTATCATTTAAAAAAACTCTTAACAAATTAGGAGAAAAAAGGAACTTCTTTAATACGATAAGGAATCTACCAAAAACTAACAAACAAACAAAAAAACCCTACAGCAAACATCATTCTGTATGGTTTCACTTTGAATGCTTTCTCTTTAAGTTCTGGAATAGGTCAAGGATGCCCTCTATCCTCGCTTCCATTTAACACTGTACTAAAAATCCCAGCAGCATAGTAAGGCAAGAAAAGAAGACAATTAGAGAAAAGAAATTGTCCTTTTTCACAAATATCTAAATATGAAAGGTGAGGCTGTTGATATTTTAGAGAAACATGAGAGAATATCTTCATAATTTCATTGAGGGAAGGAATTCTCAAACAAGACAACAAAATCATGCTAAAGAAAACATTTGACTGTTAAAATTAAGACCTTCTGCTCATGAAAAAACATTGAAAAGAAATTACTTTGAGAGACAGAGTAGCAGGGGTAGGGGTTTGGGGACCATGCTTTCAGGGGACATCTAGGTCCACTGGCATAAAAAAGCTTAAGAAAATGTTCTGCATCCTACTTTGGTGAGTGGCATCTGGGGTCTTAAAAGCTTGCAAGTGGCCATCTAAGATGCATCAATTGGTCCCAACCACCTGGAGGAAAGGAGAACGAAGAACACCAAACACCCAAGGAAGGTATTAGCCCGGGAGACAGAATGGGCCACATAAACCACAGACTTCATCAGCCTGATACCAGAAGAACTAGATGATGCCCGGCTACCACCAATGAACGTCCTGACAGGGAACACAACAGAGAGTCCCTGATGGAGCAGGAGAAGGATGGGTTGCAGAACTCAAATTGTAGTAAGAAGACCAGACTTAACGGTCTAACTGAGACTGGTGGTAACCTGGAAAGCATGGCGCCCGGACTCTCTATCAGCCCAGAACTAAAACAATTTCCGAGGCCAACTCTTCAGACAGGGATTGGACTGGACTGTGGGACATAAGGTGATACTCGTGAAGAATGTGCCTCTTAGTCAAGTAGATACAGGAGACGAAAGGGGCAGCTTCTGTCCGGAGGTGAGAAGCGAAGGCAGAGAGGGTTAGGAGCTGGTTGAATGGTCATGGGGCATCAGGGGCGGAAAGCAGGAGTGTGCTGTCGCAGAATGGGGTGAGCAATTAGGGTTACATAACAATGTATGTATAAAATTTTGTATGGGAGACTAACTTGAAATGTAAACTTCATTTAACTACAACAATAAAAAAAATTGTGAAGAAATTGATAAAACAAGTCAGAGATTAAGAAACAAGATTTATTGCAAATTATATACAAGACCGCCACAAAGAAAATAATGGAACTTTTATTGAGAGGCACTGAAGAAGATAAGGACTAGTATTCTAAGTACATAAAGAATTCTTACAAATTAATAAACAATATGGACAAGCCAGTAAAAAGAAACTGGGCAAAAGGCTTGAACAAGCTCTTCACAAAAGATGAAATCCAAAACGTCATATAAAAACCTATATAAACTACTCAAGCTCATTAGTTACCAGAAAATATAAATTAAAATCACAAAGAGATATATTAAACACCCACCAAACTGGCAAAAATTTAAAGATCTGACAAGATCAATTACTGCTAAGAACGTGGAACAACACGAGTACTGTCATTTAGAAAACAGTTTGGCATAGTTTAGTGAAATTGAAGCTGCACATATCCGCAACCCAGCAATTCCATTCATAGATCTGTACCCTATAAAAACTGATGCAATGTTCATAGCAACATTGTTTGTGATAGAAAAAAACTGAAAACAACCCCAAATATCCAACAAGGGTAGAAGAAAAGCATTATTAGTGGGATATTTTATGTTGTTTTCAGCATTTTTGTTCATTTAAAAATTTTTAGGAGTTTTAGAAATTCTAATCATTTTTGGTGCATTTTAGAAATTCTAACTCATTTTCAGTGAATTTTACCCACTACATTTATTTGGCCATTTTTAGTTTTTTTTTAAATTTTTCCCCTGTTCTAAGTAAATTATCCAAATGCTAATGGATTGGAAATGAGCATGTCCAATACCTAGTTCACATACCAAAAAAATTTTTGAATATTATGACAATTTTGTAAGCTTTAAGTTTCTTTTTAGCAATTCATCCACTTTCTAAATTTATTTTTCTTGTTTTACTTCTAGCCAGTCCTTTAATCACCTTTGAGGTTGCAGTTCCCTTTTCTAAACTTCTAAAATCTAGAAAGCTCTCAAATCCACCTCTTTTTTTTTTTTCATAACGTATTTAGAGGTAAAACTAGAACTGATCATAACCAATTTTGCAGCAAAGTCTCTCTGGAGTTGACACATGGCTGTTCAGTCTTTCTTTGTGAGAATATTTATATGTTTCACTGCAGAAATACTAATACGTCCTAGTATGTTAGATTTCAACATGGTACCCTGTTCACAGCTGAGGATGTTACTTAATATACAATATATGCGCAGAATTACCTTCTTAAAAACAAAAAAGAAAGAAATCTAAATCCCAAAACATATCTGTTTCCAAAGGTTTCCAATAAGGGATTGTAGACCTGTATTTTCAACTTTAACGATTCATTTAAAAAAAAAACAGACAAGGTTATACCGTGCAGAAGAACATATTTTAACTAAGGAAAAGCTGATTAAATATAAAAGAAACATACAATACAAAATGGCGGAAACATGATTAACTAGATAAAATATGTGCAACTGACCAAAAGTTTGTCTTTGTATGGAGAATACAAAGAATAAGAATACAAAGGAAGAAATGGTATGTAGAAAACATATCCTTACCTAAAGTAGGTCTTTACTAGATTTCCAGTATAAAAGCTACATGCTTTTATCATCAATTCTGGAGTCATCTAAGATAAATAAAAAATTGAAATAACAAACATCAGACATAAATGAGATATACAGGCTAACCCTGGAAGAAACAGAAAATGAGAGGAATGGTTGCCTCTGGGGAGGGTAAGTGGAATGGCTGGGTGTCAGGAATCGACAGAACTATATATCATTTATGTTTTAGAGTTTTTAAATCAGTGGCAAGAAAAGAAATTTAAAAAAAAAGAACTGTTGTAGATTATAAGAGACATTAGATAGACAGCAACCAAGTATAATATACCGACCCTGTTTGGATTTTGATTTGAACAGAGCCTTACGTAAAAACGCATTTCTGAGACAACTTGAAAAATCTGAATAGCTATTAGATGATATTCAAGAATTACTGCTAATTTTGTTATATCAGGCAATGACATAAAAAAAGTCATTTCCAGTTAGAGATGCACACTGAGCATTTACTGATAAAATAATACAACGTCTAGGATTTGTTTTCTAATACTCTAACAAAAAATGAGGAGAGGAAAATAGATGAGCAAGACTGGCAAAATACTGATTGTTGTTTAAGCTGAATGATGGGGGATCACTATAGTATTATCTCCATTGGTGTTATGTTTAAATTTTTCCATCATAAAAATATTTTTAATGTTTTATATGTCTTTTCTTCCTGTAATTAGTAGGCTCATCTGGAGATTTAATTTCCTCAGAAGTTAACTTCCTCTGTGAAGTTAGCTTTCCCCTCATGATAGTTGATTCTTTCACGCTGGAACATGCTGTTAAAGGTCTTTCTGTCTCCTGTTATTAGAGCAGTTACTACTCTCTGGATGTATCTGGCTTACTCACAGTTACCTGTACTTAACCCTCTCTGTTTACACAAATAGAAACAAGCACATTTTATAATTTAGAAATAGACATATGCAGGCAGTCCTCACTTTGCACAGTAGCGCAGTACTATAAAGATGATCATGCAAGCTGGAACTGTGCAAAGCAATCTGAATAATTAATGGAAAAAATTATAATTGTTCTGTGACCTTTAAAAAATTTTGCCAAAACATTAAATACTCTCTTACTGGCAGTTATAACTATATAGAAAAATGGGGGGTTGGGGAAGTAAAGCTATTATTTATTTAATACATTATAATTTAAAATATTAAAAACATTGAGAATTAAAGTGTTTTATTTCTTTGTAAAAAAATATTGTTTTCTCAGGGTGAAGGGGAAATAAACTAATCTAGGTCCAACCTACACTGAACCCTCTAACTAAGCAACCCTAGGGGCCTGGAGATGTACATTTTCATCACTAATCGTAATAAATTTTTTCTCATTACTTTTGCAAAGTCACGTTTTGTTTCTATTTGTTCTAACTTATGACACATCTTTTCTATGCTTTGCAAGTTGTCATAGTCCTTTCTAGGTCTGGGAGAGCTTCGAACATTTTTCCTTTGCCCTTTCAACATTGTGAAGTATCTTTGAGAATTTGTTTTCTAAAAAAAACTTTAGGTTTGAAGTGGCTATGATCTTTTAGAATTTTGTGCAATTTTTAAAAGATTCTCTACAGGCTTCTAGCTAGATATTGGAGACAACCTGACATTATAATTTATAAGATCCCTTTTAAAATACTGACAATGAGGTTTACCCCTCTAGATCAGTAATTTTCAAAACTTTTAGCATCTTTAGCAATGGTTTTCAAGTGAAATCGTACTCAAAGCAGAACTACTCATAATATAGGCATTAGGATAGAGTATTTAGAATCCCATTCCTTAGGTCTCCCCCTTAGCTCCTGAGGTTGCCCACAAATATCTCCAAGAACACAGTTTGCAGATATCTGCACTCCATAGTAGATCAAAGATCTGTGATAAAGTATGGTCATTAAGACATCCACATGCCATGATACAGATCCAGTAAAAATCAGACATATGAGCACCTCCCAGTGTACTGATGCCTCAGAATCATGCCAGGCTCAGTAACCTGTCCCTCTATTTCTGTTTCTCTGTGCTGCAGAGCCCTGATTAGGATCCAGTGTTACTCTCCACCTGTCCTGCTAAATCTGTGCTTCAGATTGGTTCAAGCTGTCTGCACTTCTCTTGACTATGGCTTTGATTCCAGTTTTCTTTTCTTTCTTTCTATTTTTTCATTGCCTTCAATTTATTTATATTCTTCTTTTAAAAAAGGAAACACTTTACATTTTTAGACTCTTGTATACCTGGATTCTTGCCCCTCATCCACTAACAATTAGATTTCGAATCTTAAGGCAGTCATTTAAACAAACTCTTCGGGTCTCAGTAAAATGAGGATATTAATTAACTTTGAAGTTTCTAAAATTTCATAGATTCAGTCATTCATTCACGTCAATGAATTTTTTGTTGCCGTTGTTGTCGATCCCACTTTTCAATGCCCAACTTCACCAGCAACTCCCAAGCACTAGCCAGGCATGCACAGACACCAGCCCTGGGATCTGGAAGTATCACCAATGGTCCCAGCCACACCTAATTTATATTGATATTTCTTTCCTCATGTGCCTTTGCTCTCCTTGTGGGTTTGCTATTTAAGCGTCTCCTATATACATAGTCTCTGTTCTAAACGTCTTCATGTCTTTAATTACTTTTTTGTCCTATTTACAGGATCAAAACCAGTTGCTGGAGCCAGTCATTCCTCTCAGTAATAATCAGGTCTTGCTTTCAAGTTAGCTCTCATTAATGTTTTGGCAATGACTTCATGAACATAATTCCTGTATCTCGATCTTAGAGGGCATGAAGGCCGAGGGAATTGGAGGGGGGTGCGGTAGAACACAGAAGGAAGCAGATTAGAAAGAAAAGAAAAATTCTCCTTTAAAGTTTTTCATAATGCTATTTTTACCATTATAAAGATGCATGAGAGGACGAAAGGGGAAAGGGGAAATTTAACGGAAAGATTTTATCAAAAAGAGGAAGAACAAATGCTTGTCTAAATGCTACTTGCAAAGTTGGAGAGGTTACTAGAGTGTGGCTGTTTGTGTGTGTGTGTGTGTGTGTGTGTGTGTGCGTGTGTGTGCGCGCACGTGTGTGCGCGTGTGCGTGTGATGTTCCTTTACTTCTCTACGGCTCCCAAATCTCAAATAGTCTAATCTCACACCTCCCATAAAATCTAAAATTCGGAAAATTTCATCAAAACTTAAGGTGTATATTTTAGGATCCTTGGTTACTAATAATTACCAGTTGATCATCCAGTCCAAAAAGTTGTTCCAAATAAGTCTCAGACAATCTTCGCATTTTTGGTTTCACTGATGGATCAATGCACATATCCCTTTAATAATACCAGAAAATATAGTCAAAAAATTATTTCATTTCATAGTACTTAGTTCCACAATATGCTTATGTTTAGAGTCTCTACCAGTGGTTCTTCTGGGTGGATTGTAAGGGAGGGGAAGAGACAATTTCCCTTGGGAGAAACATCAGAATCACCTGGAGGACTTAACCAAACTGTTCCCCAAGATTTTGCTGTGTTCCCCAAGGAAGGTGCACTAATTTTCCTTGCTTCCAACTTGAGATAAACTGCCGTATGAATGCGTGTTACTGATGAGAGCACACTACGTTTCTCAACCTGAGAACCAGCGCACTATTCATATGTAAGCCGTTGGGGCTTAAAAACTTATGGGGAGGTTTAGTATTCCCCATGGCCTCACAAAAAAATACTGCTAACATTTTGATGTAGCTCCTGGTCCCCCACTCCCAAATTTGTTTTCTAGGTTAGATTTTAATCTGTTTTTTTAATCCATTTTATTTTCATTTTACATTAAAATATAAACACTCATCATGTAATCAGAAATTTTCAATAACATGGTTTTTAATAGTTTCAGAATATTCCAAGTGGATATACCCCTGATGTTTTTAGTCATTTACCAATTTGTGTATATTTGTGTTGATTCCTTATTTTTTTTACAATTAGAAAAAAAATGATCATTGTGATTTAAAAAAAAGAAAAGATTATGGGGTGATTCTTTAACAGTCTGGAGATTGGAGGCATTCATTGGCAAGATCTTGTTTTTATACTATACAATGAGCGTTTTATCTTCAGAATAAAATAATCCCCTATCATAAATGAAAACAATACATACCAAAGAAGTCTTTGAAGTCCACTTTCAATTATATACTTGATCATGACTTCTAAATATCTCAGCGGATCCTCAGGACAGGTAGCAAGTAGACCACATAACAGAGCCTTGAAAAAACAATGAAATGGAAAAATGTTTCTGAATCAGCATGTTCTTACTAAGCAGCAGACAGGCTTCCCCTCATACAATTAAAAAGTCAAATAATGTGACAGTTCTAAAATAAACATGCTTTATAGATACTCTCTGTATTTATTCCACCTGAATATTTACTGAAGGCAAATCAAAATGCAGTTTACCTTTCCCCTTTAAAAAAAAAAAAAAATCCATCCACAGTACATGATGCCATAAAATTTGCAATAAGTCACTGTACAGTGCTTTACATTATATGAGCAGTAAGTTATTTTATAGTCAATTTGAAAACATAGTTGTGATGATTTAGATCAGTGGCTTCTACCCTTTTTAAATATAAGGAAGTTTTTTTTAAAAAGTAAAAAAAAAATTCCTCAAATCCAATCATAAAAATGACGGAGAAAATCCATAATCGAAATCTATTGTGAATTCCTGAAGTCTTTAAAAAATTCTTTTGTATATGATCACTCATGAAATCTATAGATCTTATATTCAAAAAATCGCAGCACAGTACACATCAGTAGGAAACAAATGACTTATTGCATCTACGATCACATACACGGAATACATACATGGAATACGTGGAACACATACACGGAACCCAGAAAGTTTCTGCCACCTCATTTTCCACTTTGCGCTCCCCACAAAAGCAGAAACTTCTCATCAGAAGTATCAATTAGACATGTAGAATTTACTGAAGATTTCTCCATTTGAGACAGAGAAGAGTAATAGCACAGATCCCACAGAAACGATCTAGAATTCTCCTTAGACATTTCTCTTTTCCTTTTGGTT